TTAATATTTAGTTGGGAATCCTTTTTGTAGGATGACTTCTGCACATATCTTGCTCATAGAACTGACGAGTTTGGAACATTGCTCTGGGGTTATTTTATACAATTCCACTATAGGTCAAACTGGCAATTTTTGTGGCCAAAATTCATAAAATTGAAAAAATTATTGTATTTCAACCAGAATAGCTTTATTAACCTTCATAAAGAATAATGGAACAATTTTTTTGAAATTAAATCTTTAAGTTATTAATGTATTAACCCTTTGGGGACAAAAATAATTTAATTCATATATTTCATAACATTTTATTTATATATATTCTTATTATTGTGAATAAATAAAATTATGGAATATCATTGCATACAGGGTCGTATGCAGGGTTTCGAAAAAAATGAAATGAAAATTTTTCTTTTGCATCAAAAAAGTTAAAAATTAGGTAAACAAAAACAATTCGAGCGGCGTCAAGTACCAAGGACACCCCTCCACTTTGCTACGTCCGTGATTACATATATTATTTTAAGGCAGTCCGTTTCATTTTCTAAATCTAAGTCATTAAGAATATTTATATACGTTGTATGCCGTCTTCATTGAACTCATCGCTCTTATCATGTGATCTGTCTTCACCTTTAACATTTTGATTTAAATTCGACTGTTTTAAAGATTCCAATTCATCAATAGAATTTTGACATTTCAAGCTTTAACGTTTTCGCTGCAGCATGCGTTTTATTATGCTAATTGACGATATTAAAGGATCTAATGCATCCAAGGCTCTAGTAAATGTATCTAAGATGTTATTCATTCGGCTGCTCTTACGAGCGTGATGTAACCTGTCGGGCTTATACAATTTATGCCTAGCTTCAGCAGCATCTTTTCCAAGAAACTCTAATGGAAGTACACAATTTTCCATTATCTGCGTCGAATGAATTTGTTCCTTATGGACAGTACCTTGTACTTTGTCCATGACAACCAGAAATATTTCGTCAATATTAAATTAGCTGTTTCATAACAATAACTTCGAAATACGTTTAAATCTAATTAAAACTGACATAATAATGAAATTAAAATAATTTTGAGGCGGAATATACGATTTAGCTTTACTCCAGTTATTTCAGATTCAAATTAATCAGTATTTCGGTAAATGGTTTAACATGCAATAAAAAAACCGCACAAATCCGCAAAAACCCATTAGATTATTTAGATTAAGGACGGTTCAATAAACAAATATCAATTTTTATTTCAATTTTCAAACGGTGCCCACGGATTTATTGCATACATAACCTCAAAGTTTAAAAATTTCTGCGATCAATCTAAAGTTATGGTTGTTTTAATACTACACATACACATATGCATTATGCGTATCCTATAATCCATTTTATTTGATCAAAAAATAAGGATACGTTACTTTTTATTTTAATAAAAAAATCCTTGCAAATTTAACTGAAAATGGTACCTATTATATTCAAAGTTCATATTTTTGAAATGAATAATTTTCACTTTTAATAAAAACATAAAAATAATTAAATTATCACCAAATTAATATAAATTTAAACCAATTAATAAAACTTTAAATCTTGCAATCAATTATCCGGATTAGCGAGTTTTTACTGTACTTTCTTATTGATTCTTTACTTATAGTTATAATTAAATTTTATTTCCACTTTAAATCTTAACAAGTAACATACCGAATTAATACATTTTTTATGATATTTTAATAATTCACGTTTGACAGCTTGCCATGTAACGGTATAAGTGATTATGCAAAAACAAAATTCATTTTTATTTGTTTTGAAGTGTTCCTTACTCGATTGTAACTCAAAATAAGTGATAGGACAATGTGTGAAATTCGACTTTTGGCCAGTAAAATGGCCTGTTTGACCTATAGTGCTACGGTTAATTGGTTTGCCCGCTTAATTGAACCACATGATGGGGCAAAAAATATTGCATAGGAAAACACATATACATTTCCTCGGATAATCAAAAATAAATTTCCTCTTATTTTTCACCGGTTAATTGCATTATTATTAGACCCATGGTTCCATTTTAGAATATGCATATAATATCTTTCTGAGTCGATTTATGCAAAGTATAGATCGCATTTATAATCCCATTTAGATGAAATTTGGTACACAAAATGTATTTGGCCCTATTGAAATTGAGAAAAATCGGTTCAAAACTAGATATATCTCCCATATATATTTTCGTCTGATTTTGACTAGAATATTGTGTCTATATTATGACTAGAATATTGTGTGCTTCAGATTTAAATACAGCCTCCATATCTATTTTCTCAATTTCTTTCGATTTGCGCGAAATTTTGCATATCTTACTGAATTAAGTCTAGAATGATTTGTGCTAAGTCTCGTGAAAACCGGTTCAGAACTATATATAGGCCTCATATACATATATTTTCTTCCGTTTTTAAGTTGTGTGCGAAATACCGAAAGTTTGTCTAAATGGCAAGAGCGTAAGTGTTTCGGCGAATTATGTAATTGAACAAAAAGTTCAATTAAGCGGGTATCGGATAATTGGTTCCTCGGTTAATTGAACAAAAAATTGTGCAAATTTTGATGGCCAAATAACCGAAAAATACTATACTAAAATTTCTATATTAGAGATAATAGTACTTAAGTCTACGAAAAGTAATAAATGGTACTAAATTTGGATACAATTTGGATTGTGGTGAACAGATGAGTTGGAATTCATAAATTTGTTTTTGTTCAAACAAAAAAAGTTAAAACATCTGCAAAATAATCACATCTACAGTGGCGAGCAGAAACGAGTACATGTTTGTACTTTGAACAAATTTTACGTCATAAAAATAAACGTTAATAAGCAAATTCAAAAATGTTGTTTTTATTTTATAACAGAACTAAATAAATTCAAAATTTTGACTCTTAAATTTCTAAGAATGAAATAAAGAAAATTAAATCAACTCCCATGTACTCAGTTTTGCACGTTTGACAAAATTTGCAGTAAACAAATATTTTTATTACATATACCGTAGTTTTATATTTTTTAATGCGTAATTTATGAAATTTGCCATACTTACTACCAATTTTAGTACAATTTTATTTGAAATATTCTTCCAATCACATCAGATTCGCTTCCAATGTTAGTCTCAATCATTAGGGACTGATTGGTTCTGTCTCACCTGTCTCTTTACGATTGGCCTCAAATTATCCTTCGGATTGAGGTCGGGACTTTCTGCTTCCCACTGTGTTATTTAAAAATTTTGCTCACCAAGATATTCTGTCACAATTTTGGACGTGTGTCTTTGATCACCATCCTACTCACAATTACTTCTACTAGAGGATATGCGTTTTTATCTACCAAGACCAATTGATATGACTCTAAAATGATCTCAATAGACGTTTTCCTTTATTATATTGTAATTTTTTTTGTATTGGTCCAAGACCCACAAGTTAAAATCAAGACATACCATTGTAATTCCTCAACCGTGCTTCACATTAGGCCTTTAACCCTTTGTGACCCAATGTAGCCCACAGGCAACAAAATGTTTTAGAGGTTATATTTAATATGTGGATACTAAATATATATTTTGTATATTTATTTTAGCTGATTATGGACGACACATATCAAAAGAAATATTTAAAAAATTCTATTTTTTTTTGTCAAGTCATATGCTTTTCAATGAATAGATGAGTGCAAATCGTGTACACAGTCCAAATTATTTAAATCACTTCGTATTCGAAATGTACGAATTGTACCCTTTAAATTGTTGTTGAGTCTTTTCGTCGATATTGCATTTGCTTTTGTTGATATTGGAATTTTATTGTTCGGAAAGAAAGTACTGTATCTCCCGAATGCAGGGATGTAGCGACGCCAAATTTCGTTAATATCCTATTAATCGGGTTTCATCACCAATAATGCTTATCGTCGGATTGAAAACGGTTGAATTTGGATTCGTCGGACACGATCACGCGTTTCCAGTCGACCACTGTTCAACTATTGGGCTCGTGGAAAACTGTTTACCCTCATTTTGAAATTTTTTTGTTTTACTGCTGCTATAGCCAATGTCAGGGAGGGCTCTTCACGCCGTTCACCGTCAAATCGGTGAACGAAGCATATTTTGGTATTAAAACTTATCAATTCACTTTTCCCGTGGGTCCACACAACATAGAAGCGATGTACAAACTCTAATCTGAGGTTTGGGAACAACGGAACATCATTTTTGTATCCATATAACCACTAACTGGAACAATTTAAGTCTCTTTCCCATTTCGAGGGTAGAACAGCTTCTTTCACTAAAGACCCGAATGGCCTCTTCAGTGGTTATTAAACGTTTTTTCATTATTATTGATTTCATTTAATTGAGATTACATTAGTTTCAAAAATATGCCGACTAGCATATTTCTACATAGAAATTAAAACAGCTGAAAAATATAGCTTTTGGGCGCATTACAAAATTGACTCAACAAAAACCAAAAAGTTCTTCAGAGTTATATTTATTCATCAACTGTAATTTCGAATTTCTACTTTATATAAATTTGTTTGCCTGACAGAAAACAGCCTAAAAAGAGATGTAAATGATTTTTCTCCACAGAATTGTTATGGATTCACAAAAGTAGAAAACAAAAAGAAAAAATTGCACCACCTATTCAACTAAGATTACACTGTAAACGGAAGAGATCTTACTGAATTTTGATTATTCTTCTTCAAGTTGGTCTCTGGTTTATGTTTCACCTAATCAAATCGTTAACTCCGAGAAAACAAAAAAAAAGAAGAGTATCAAATCAAATTGACAAATTTGTGATAACCGACAACAATAACAACAACCGCCACAATTCAGCTGACAAAATCTGTCTCGACGAATTTTCGATCGAACATCACGTACCGCATACCACCATTCACAAATTGGCCACTTTTCATTATATAAAAGCTGGGACAGCATCTAGAGCTGTTACCAGTTGATTTTGTGGCGTATTCTAGTAAGCCTACAACATAGAAGCGCATCTGTGAATTCCGAATAAGAATAAATCGCAGTCATGAATTTCCGTTTTGTGTTCACAATTTGCGCAATTGCGTTACCGGTAGGTGTTGGAAAACATAGAGTCACCGTAGTGGTTGAATGTGAGTGCTGACGTTTTTCTATTTTCTTGATTTCCGTAGATTGTCAGTGCCTATGGTCCAGCTGCTGGTTATGGAGCTGGCGGTAGTGGTTATGGTGCTGGCGGTAGTGGTGTTGGCAATGGTGTTGAAGAGTTGATCAATGCCGCTGCCGCTAACCAACAAGGCGGTGCAGCCTCATTGACTGCCACTGCTGATGTCTCTGCTCCCGCCTCTGCCCAAGCTGGTTTGGCTGCTGCCAACGCTCAATTGGCTGCCCTCCAGGCCAACTCTGCCTACAACAACCTCAAGAACTCCGATGCCATTGCCGAATCTTTGGCTGAAAACACTTTGGCTTCGAACATCCGTCAAGGTTTGGTTAATGTTGTGGCTCCCAATGTTGTTGGACAAACCGCCTTCCGTTCGTTGTTGGTGCCCAACAGATTGAACACCCACAATGTCGTTGCCACACAACCCCTCCAGCCATTGGTTGTCAATCAGCCCGGTTCTCCCGTCACCCAAGTCAACAGCGGCCCAGCATCTGTGGTCCGTGCTGCTCCCATCATTTACAAGTTGAAACCTTCCGTCATCTATCAACAAGAAGTCATCAACAAGGTGCCAACTCCCCTTAGCCTTAATCCTGTCTACGTTAAAGTATACAAACCAGGCAAACATGTTGAAGCTCCCGTTGCCGCCCCCTCTTATGGTTCATCATATGGATCGGCCTCTTCATACGGTGGTAGTGCACAAGGTGGTGCCGCTGCTGGCAGTGATGCTGGTTATGGTGGTGCTGCTGGTTATAACAGTGCTCCTGCCGCCTATTCTGCCCCAGCTGCATCGTACGGTGCTCAATCTGCCTATTAAATTATTTTCCATGGCGAAAAAATAATTTAGTATACAAATTGGACATTTAAATTTTAGTTTGGCCTGGAATCGCAAATGATGCACAACAACAATGTCCAATAGAATATGCCAAAACAAAAACACTTTTTTTTATACTCAATAAAAAAGAAAATTTTTATTTAAAAGAAAAAAAAAACATATTTTGAATTGGGTTTAAAATTTTATTTTATTGGGGTGTTATTTGTTAATCCAGAAGTCCTGTAAAAGGACTTCCGTTAAAAAAATTGACGCAATTTATTTTATTGTATGGCCAAATTACATAGTATTAACAAATTCAGTCAAGGAAAATTTTTCATATTTTATCAGCTGTTTTATGAAAACACGTTTAAAAATTAACGCAATTTAAATTTTTCATAATAAAATTTTATGCCAATTTAGCCGTGTGGGTCTGTCTGTTGAAATTTACTACTCAATGGATGTTTGGTCCATGTTTTGTATATTCTCAAATAGAATAGTACCACCCCATATTCGATATTTTGTAGGGTATAAAATGTTCGAGACGTCCGAACGTATTGTTCATAACCAATTAAAAAGAATACCCAAAAGTCTGCATCTTTGACGTGCCAAGCTTGAGTGAAAACAAACACTCCCTACTATAAATATTAAATTTTTCGTAATGGATCTAAGTTTCATAAAACATATTACATTGTTTAGAATACCCTCTTGGCACGTTTTGTAACATTTACATGTTGACCGATTCGCTCAACCATCGAACTTGACCGATATTCCCTATCTTCGAATTTGATTTAAGTTTGGTTGTTCTCATCGAGATTTCCAATCAAAATCCGAGACTATAAATATAATTCGAGTATCAGTATATCTTGAAAATTTTCGGGGATCAACCATGAGGATTGGTTCAATATTTTGAATATTCGAAAACAAAAATTCGTTGTGCCCAATAATTCTTAAAATCTAGCACTTCTTTAGTATTTTTATTCTGTTTAAGTACTTTTTAAAGGGAATCATGAAAAATCACTCTCAGAGTACAAAATGATTCGGAAATTTAGGGAACGCAAACGCATTTCCCCTAGTAATGATGACATCGGGTTTAGAGACGGGTTTCTACACCTGTTATTCAAAACATATCCAATGCAATTCAGGAATTCCATTGGAATTTCAAAACATATCTCTTGTAATTCCAGAATTTCATTTGTAATTCATAGAACACCTTTCAAAATTCATAGAATTACACTTCATAAAATTTTATTTGAAATTCAAAAAATTCCATTTGAAATGCATAAAATTTGATTTGAAATACATAACATTTCATTTGTTATTCAAAACATTTAATTTTAAATTCCAAAAATTTTATTAGTAACACACAAAGAATATGTATGGATTTGAAATGAACTGTTACGAATTACAAGTGAAATGTTATGAATTTCAATTCTTTTAATTTTAAACAGATTTCTTTGAATTTCAAATGAAACTCTAGGAATTTCAAATGGAAATATACCAATTACAAATTAATTTTTTTTAAATTTCAAATGAAATTCTTAGAGTTTCATATGAAAAGCTTAAAATTACAAATTAAAAGTTGGGAATTAACAATTACTTTCTCGAATTGCAACTGAAATGTTATAAATTGAAAATTGAGTTTTGGAAAATTAAATGAAATTATTGAATTTGCAATTGAAATGTTTTGAAAAAGGGTGTAGTAAAGGATTTTTTTTAATTTCAATGTGTCAATTCCGTTTTCACATTGAAGTTTCCGTATGTTTCACACGATGAACTTGATTTTCCAATGTTTAACCAGTGAGCATAGCAGTATAGTCGGAATGGGGAAATCCATATGATACCATTCGCAACTACCACCTGACGTTTTGGTAAAAAATTCTGTCTTGCAAATGCCTCGGTTCATTTGATTATAAAAATATTAACCGATTATTATCAAAAGAGTCATGATATTTCATTGGCTAGATTCCCTTCCCCATATTTATTGGTTTACGCGGGTCTATAATTTTCGGCCACCACCAAAAATTATAAATGTCGAAATACAAAATTATTATATATTATACAAAATTTCATAATTATCAACGCGACATTTTCACTCTGTCCCTCTGGAATATACGACACGGAATGCAAATTTCGTAATTTTTCACACAAATGTCTTGGCCTATTATTATTTAGCGTTTCCTCTATGTAAAAATTTGTGACCCCTAGAGCGACCAAAAAACAAGTAAAAATGATTTTGGTCGACTTCAACAGCTAAATATTGTCCAATTTTACCGCAAACAATAAGTGTCTTCATTGGCCAGAACCGGATATGAAAAATGTCGTGGCGATTGGTTCACAACTGTGGCCGTTACATTCTTTACAAATGTTAATGGAGAGACACACAGATCTCGATGGACTCAGCTAGTCGATATATGACGATCCGTATATAGCATTTTTTCTCAATCAAATTTTTGGCAACACCGTTCATATCCCAACACGCAAAACTAGATTGTCAACATTCCAAATAGAGGCTAATATCTTCAAACATACGAATGTAGACAGTTACAGTTTGGCGAAATACTTCAATAACGAAAATTAAAAAAAAAAAATATACCAGTACCTCCAAAATATATTTCTATGCCCGTTTTCTACATTCTTTATCACTCTTAATCGCAAATAAGTACTCCATATTTTTTGTTGGAGAATTCGAAATTATTTCTCTTTTCAAAAAAAAAAAAAAGAAATATGAAATCATTCTGTAATCATCAATGAGAGAAAATCGAAATCAAAACCGGCGTCACCATCAAGAAGAGTAAAATTACTTGCTTTTGTCAATAAAATATATAAAAAGAATTATGATAAAAATTTTACATTTAGATATCGAATTGGTTTTATTAGTAAACCGTATATAGATTTAGAGAGAGCGAGGGGGGCCAAAGCGGCTTGGTCTGCTGCCCGCTAGAGAACATTTCACATGAATGTCACGTAATTGGAAGTGAATTTCTTGTCTCGATTTCTTTGCCACTCCGACTCGGTAGACTACGTGAAATCATATTTAAATCCAAGATGCAGTTCGGCATCATGCATCAGTCAACAACAGAAGTTGCCTTGAGAATCAAGTACGAGACCAGAAGAAGAACTTGGTGACTAAAGTAACAGCACAAAGATGAAACTCTTCGTAGCCACCCTCACCATTGCATTCATTGTAGGTATTTCTATCGATCAGATGGTGAACTTTGCACTCACTGACTGTCTAGTTGTGGTAGTGGTTCTGCGACTAATGAATTTTCTTTGTTTTTATTTCCGCATTCGTTTAGGCAATGGCCAATGCCTCTGGCTACAGTTCGGGTAGCAGTTATGGCAACCAAGGCGCTGGTGGTAATTCCGCTGCCGGAGCTGGAGGTGATGCCAGTGGTGCCTTGCATGGTTTCAACGCTGGTGGTGATGCTAGTGGTGCCTTGAATGGTTTCAACGCTGGTGCTGATGGTGCTGCCACAGCCCTTGCTACAGCCAACACCGCCGAGTCATCCGGTGCCTCCGGTGCCTATGGCAGCAGCAAAAATCTTCCTTATGCCCCTCAAAATACCAGAGGCAACAGTATCAGTTCCTCCATCACCTATCCCAACAACAAGGGCGAGATTCTGATCCATCGTCCAGCTGCCATCATTGTCAAACGCCCACCCACCCGTGTCGTTGTCAACCATCCCCCACTAGTCGTTAAGCCCGCCCCAGTTGTGTTGCACAAACCCCCAGCAGTCGTGTTGCGCAAGGTCGTTGTCAAGCACCATCCCCGCCCAGTCAAGGTTGAACCTGTGTACGTGAATGTTGTCAAGCCCCCAGCAGAGAAATATTTCGTCAACGAGAAACAACAACATTACAGTGCCCAACCCGCTGCCTTTACGCCCGTTAATTTGGGACCAGCTGCCTTTGCCAATGCTCCTGGTGCTTTCTCGCTCAACAATGCTGCCTCCTTTGCGCCTCTGGGTGCTGGCGGTGCTGGTAATGTCGCCGGTGGTGATGCTGCTGCCGCCGCTGCTGCTGCTGCAGGTGGTGATGCCTCCAACTCTGGTTACCAATTGTTGTCCGGCAACAATGGTTTGGCCGCTTTGGCCAGCCTTAATGGTGGTGGTTATGGTGGTGCCGCTGCTGCCCCTGCTCCCAGCTATGGTGGTTCTTCCGCTCCTTCCTATTAAAAGCTATCAAAAATTCGTCTCCGCCAAGTGGATGAATTGTTTGACCAAAGTCTGAGACAAGCACAGTTCTCAGAATTGTATTTGTACTGAGTTTTTGTACTTTTAATAAAAAAAACAACCTTTTTTACCAAGAAAAAAGTTTAATTTATAAAAAATTAGAAGTTATGATTAAAATCAAAGGGGTATTGAAGGTGTCTTCATTGATATTCTGAGAATTTTTGGGTTCATCACACATCGCAGTTAAGCGATGTTAACTCCATTCAACGAAAAGTTGGGGAACGCGAGGATGAGCCACAAGATCGAAAATTCTGAAATTCAATCAGATAAATATAATTATTATGTTTCAAATTGTAAATTTCAATTAGGAATTGCTCAGTTTCAGAACCTGCAAGAATTTTCAATTAATCGAAATGGTTATCGAGTTTTTCTTTATAAATTTGAAATGTTTTAAAAGATCCTGAGTAGTGAAATGAGATCTTTGAAATAAAAGAAGTGTGAAATTGAAAACAAATAATAGAAATATAAAAAAAAATATTAAGTTCAAAATTTATACATACATCATTTCTGAATTTCAAATGAACATTTCTGAATTTAATATAGAAAATTCGGAAAATTAATGTTCTGAATTTCAATTGTAAATCTGAATAATAGAAAATTATATAAATCTAAATTCTGAAATTCAATTGAAAAAATCGAAGTTTGAATAGACATATTTGCAATTTGCAGAGATTTTGGAAATTTAAAATTCAATTGATAATTTCTGAATTCCAATAAAAAATTTCTGAATTTGTAATAGAAAATTCTGAATTTCAATTGTAAATTTGATTATTACTACCAAAAATTTAAATAACTCAAAAATCTATAAACTTAAAACTTGTTCAATTTCTTCTGAATTTCAGATGGAAATCTAATCTCAATAAAACTCAATTTGACATTTTCTGAATTTTTAAATTTTAAGCATTATTTTCCTAACTGCAATTGTAAGTTTTTAAATCTCAGCTTATGAATTTCAATTGAAAATCTAAATCTCTGAAATGAACGGAGGGAGTTTCATTTGAAAATTTGTTTCTGAATTTCAATTGTAAATGTTAATATTAGATTCTTCTATCATTCTGAAATTCAATTGAAAATCTCTAAATTTATAATATACATATTAGAAAAATTCCAGAAAATTCGGAAAATTAAATCTAAATTCTGAAATTCAATTGAAAAAATCTAATTTTGAAATAGACATACCATATTTGAAATTTGCAGCATCTGAATTGCACTTCGAAATTATATTATAGAGATTTTGGAAAGTTAAAATTCAATTGATTATTTCTGAATTCCAATAACTTCTGAATTTGAAATAGAAAATTCTGAATTTCAATTGTAAATTTGAATACTAAAACATTATAAAAATTAAATTTTCTAGTTTCTGAATTTCAATTGGAAATCTAATCTGTATGATGTTTTGATCATTTCCAAACTCCATTTGAATTGCAAATATCTCTGAAATGAACGGAGTTCTGAAACTCAATTGCAGAAATATGTGAAGTTGAAATTAAATTGCTAATTTGTGAATTCCAATTGAAAAGTTCTGAATTTCAATTGTAAATGTTTCAATATTAGAAAAATTCGAAAGTTATACATACAAATTGAAGTGAATCGCATATTCTGAAATTCAAACATTACTTTTCTGAATTGCAAAAATCTCTGAAATTAACGGAGTTCTGAAACTCAATTGCAGAGATTTGTAAAGTTGGAATTAAATTGCTAATTTGTGAATTCCAATTGAAAAGTTCTGAATATCAATTGTAAATTTTTCAATATTAGAAAAATTCGAAAGTTATACAAACTGAAGAGAATCGCATATTCTGAAATTCAATTGAAAAACTCTGAATCATACAAGATTTTTAGATCTCAGCTTCTGAATTTCAATTGTAAATCTGAATAATAAAGAAAATTGATCTTCTGAATTTCAATTGAAAATCAAAATATTGCATCGAAAACCTTGAAATAAGTTATGTAAAGTTACTCAAAATTAAAATTGTAAATTCCGCTTGAAAATATAGATAATTCTAAAATGTTTATTTCTGAATTTCAAACAGACAGTGGCAAATTCCAAAATTTGATTTTACCTTCTGATTTTCAATTGAAAATCTAAATCTCTGAAAAATAAAAGTGTTTCATTTGAAAATTGGTTTTCTGAATTGTAATTGCAGCTTTTGGAGTGTTTGAGAGAAAAATTCTCCGAAAGATCTATGGGCCGATCTGCATTGACGGTGAATATCGCCGTCGAATGAACCATGAGTTAGTTGTACCAGATATTCTCGGACATCGGCATTGTTAGACGTATTGAGCTGCAGCGACTACGTTGGCTAGGTTATGTTGTGAGAATGGATGAAGATGCCAGCCCAGAAGGCATATAAAAGGCATATGTTTCACGCAGAAGGGGAAGGCCACGAATACAATGGAAAGATCAAGTCGAAGACAACATTGCCGAATATGGTCTTTCAAATTGGAAAAACTGCGCAAAAGACCTACGCGCCTGGAAAACTTTTTTAAACACGGCTTGTGGAACGAAAGTTCTGTCACAAACCAGCTAAGTAAGTAAGGAAGAATTGTAAATTTTAAATTGTAACAACCTACATTGCATATCATTCTAATATTTCTGAAATACAATTGAAAATATTCTAATATGTAAAGAATTTCAAGTTCTGAATTTAAATTGGACATTATTTCTGAATTTCAATTTAGAAATCACAAACAAAAATTTGTATGTATGATTTTGAAATAGAAAATACTGAAAATATATTTCTGAATTTCGATGAGATAAATCTTATGTTCTGAAATTCAATTGAAAATGTTCTATATTTGAAATTTATAATTCGGAATTCAAGTACAAATATTCAAAATTAAATAGAAAATTTGTTAATATAAATTAAGCATTTAAGGGAACAAATTGGGTTTAGAGACACATCTCGGATTTTTCTCGTCTCCTTGATCATGAAAATATGTATATCACGAATTCCACAAAAAGGTCAACCACACAGGTGAAAAATCAATTCGTTAAGAGAGATATGAAATTATATAGGAAATATTCTTTGCAATCCGGACAATATATTTTTAGTTGAATTTTGAAAAATAACCGTAGTTTTTCTTTTCGTTGTACCATTTTCGCGTGGAGAGTAACTTGGGCATATTTTTATTAGTTTTAGAGTGTCATTTGTCGTAAGTGTGAACGCTGTTAGCTAAAACAATATCAATAATAAATATTAAATTCAAATAAAGTAACATCTTACGAAGAATTACATATATATAAACCTATACATATACCAAGAGAATCCCGTGGTAAGTGCAGTTAAATAGTGTAAGAAAATATGTAACGCGTGCGTGACAAAATTAACATATGTTTCTATACAGACTCTAATATGAGAATTTTTTTTTATAATGCTGTTATCTGTGGATCTTGAGATGACAAACTCAAATGAAACAAAGTTTGTCTTCTATCTCCATCGAACAAATTTGTATCCGTCACGCACATGTTACATTCTTCCTCAATAAGTTGCTTTAGAACCGAATTTACAGGCAAAAATATCGTCCATAACTTCATAATGATATACCAAAGGTCTTGGGGCCACACAAAGCTATAATATCCTGACAACATAGTTGTGTGGGGTATAAGAACTAGCATTTTTAAAACATTTTGTGTTGAATTTAATTTTTTTAGTACATGTGTGTGTAACAGTGCGTTACGACTGTAACATGTGCGTGACGGTGTTCAAAGTTAAAAAAGTATATCTTAGAAAAATTTTTCTCAAATAAATTGAATGTCAATATAATCTTGAATAACCCATTATAGCTGTAAAAAAATCCGCAATTTTATCTCCAGCCAATTCGCAGAAATTTCATATCGAATCTGATATCCAATTTTTAAAGGGAAAATTTTGTAGCACGTGCGTACGCTAATTTTTTCTTAATATCTCCGACATTTACAAACATATTCATAAAAAAATTAGCAGGTATTGTAAAAGGTGTAAAACTATTTAATAAAAATTGCGAAAGAAATTTCGGAAACAAATTTTTCTTAACTAAACAAACGATTATGTTTCGCACGCTGTAACAGTGCGTGACATGGAATTCGTGATATGACTTTCATGGGGGAAGTCCATACTTCCCGAGATAGGGACCCTTGAAGTTCTGAATTTCCTATGCTTATAAAGTCGTTTAAAGTTAAAGTCATTTTAAGTAAAAATTATTCAAAATAGGCCTTCTGCCGGGGACAGTTGCAAAATTCAGCTAAGGTATCAACATTTTTTAATGCATTTTTTTTAGTTTTATGCCTTTTTAGGACTACTCTCCAAAAAAGACGCCCTTCGCCCGGGTTTTACGACTTTCTCCTATAGACAGATGAACAATTGTGCTACGCGATTAAATGTTTCTTTTATATCAATTTTTTTCTTAGATAGCCGGCCTTCGCCTGGGCATTTAGGTCTTTGTCCCATGGACACATGGAAAATTCGGCTACGCAATCGAAATTTAGAGGTTCATATCTCAGGATCTACATGTGATAAAAATAATATTTTCATTTCATGGTAAATAAAAAAACGTTGGGCGCCATTTACAACATTTATTTCAACTTGGAATATTTAAGAAATCTTTTGACCGTCATTCCAACAATTTTTACATATTTTGAAAGTCCTCAACTCTGAGTCTATATTTGTTTGCAATTTCATAATAATTATTTAGAAACAAAAAAGTTTACGTTGGGTGCCATATTTCAAAAAAAAACTTTTTTCAAAGTATAATGAGTGATTTGGAGTATCGTTTGTCGCGTTACATGGAACAGATGAACGACAACTGAGTCGCTGAGACTAACGACATCGGAAATTATTATAAAGCTTAACGACAAACATACATGGCTATGATTTAAACCTGACTTATCGTATGATTGCAGTCAGCGCTACACCATTGTGCCATTACCCCCAGCATCATAAGGACCGTAGGTAAGATTTGTA